ACTCATATTGCCTTACCTGGGATCAGAGGGTCTGTGAAATGATCAAGGGGGTGCGGAGTAATTATATGCCTCTAACAAAAGGAGGGATACTACTGGTGTTAGCCCAGTAGTCCATGAAATGATTAGGGGGTGAATGTTGTAATTACCGCTCAAATCAATACATCAATCAATACATCAATCATTAATAAATACTGTCATCTATTGAAATATCCTGCCATAAAAATGTGACCTATTTTTATGGTATATTAGGTAGATGACAGTGTCACCAATTTAGAAGAAAAAAACAGAACTGTCACCTTTTTGGTCATAAAACAGGTATTTTATAACCCCTAACCCTGAGCACTGTTTTCTATTGCTTACAGGTCACCGCAGTAAACGTGTTGACCCCCTGTGGATAATACCACATTTCCCACCAGAGGCTAGATTCTCACAGCATCTTCCAGGCTGTATGACTACCAGCATAGGGCCTGTGGCTGGAAACCTCCCCAGCCTGTATGACTACCAGCATAGGGCCTGAGCCTGGAGACCTCCCCAGCCTGTATGACTACCAGCATAGGGCCTGTGCCTGGAGACCTCCCCAGCTGTATGACTACCAGCATAGGGCCTGAGCCTGGAGACCTCCCCAGCCTGTATGACTACCAGCATAGGGCCTGAGCCTGGAGACCTCCCCAGCTGTATGACTACCAGCATAGGGCCTGAGCCTGGAGACCTCCCCAGCTGTATGACTACCAGCATAGGGCCTGTGCCTGGAGACCTCCCCAGCTGTATGACTACCAGCATAGGGCCTGAGCCTGGAGACCTCCCCAGCTGTATGACTACCAGCATAGGGCCTGAGCCTGGAGACCTCCCCAGCTGTATGACTACCAGCATAGGGCCTGTGGCTGGAGACCTCCCCAGCTGTATGACTACCAGCATAGGGCCTGTGGCTGGAAACCTCCCCAGCTGTATGACTACCAGCATAGGGCCTGTGGCTGGAGACCTCCCCAGCTGTATGACTACCAGCATAGGGCCTGTGGCTGGAGACCTCCCCAGCTGTATGACTACCAGCATAGGGCCTGTGGCTGGAGACCTCCCCAGCTGTATGACTACCAGCATAGGGCCTGTGGCTGGAGACCTCCCCAGCTGTATGACTACCAGCATAGGGCCTGTGGCTGGAAACCTCCCCAGCTGTATGACTACCAGCATAGGGCCTGTGGCTGGAAACCTCCCCAGCTGTATGACTACCAGCATAGGGCCTGTGGCTGGAGACCTCCCCAGCTGTATGACTACCAGCATAGGGCCTGAGCCTGGAGACCTCCCCAGCTGTATGACTACCAGCATAGGGCCTGTGGCTGGAAACCTCCCCAGCCTGTATGACTACCAGCATAGGGCCTGTGGCTGGAAACCTCCCCAGCCTGTATGACTACCAGCATAGGGCCTGTGGCTGGAAACCTCCCCAGCCTGTATGACTACCAGCATAGGGCCTGTGGCTGGAGACCTCCCCAGCTGTATGACTACCAGCATAGGGCCTGTGGCTGGAAACCTCCCCAGCCTGTTCTGGGTGATGTCAGCCTGTATCTGGGACATGTGTGACTGTCCTGCTGCCTTGACAGGATGAAGCCATGACTGAGAAGATGAGTTGGGTATGTAGGCTACGATTTTGTGACCATAGGGTGAAATAAAACTGCCCGCATCACCCTTTAACCATCCCTCCATTCCTTGATTGAGGAGCGGGGCAAAGAGGGAGAGAGATCCTCAGATTAGAAATGACATTTGGTGATTTGGAATAAAAACATTTAGGAGAGGGGGAGCCATTTCAGAGGGCAACAATAAGATCGTGGCTATAGCATGCAGAACATTTTGAACAGAGCTTGCACCTACTGTTCAATGTTGTTCTGCACATGCAAACTTGTTGGAGAAAACACAGTGAACAGAGAAACATGGTGTTCATTTTCTGAGTGACTGTTTTCCAGACATATCATGCATCTATCTTCTCGTTAATGTTTGTCAATGTATCTATATTGTATAAGTTAACTGGATATCAGGCCTATTAGAATTAATTCATTATTCACTTATTTCGGTTGTAGAGGCGCAGGTACTTTCCATTTAGCGGAACAGAAGAGTTGGCAGTATTCCACGCGCCAGAGAATGGATGTGTTCTGAAAATTAGAGTTCTCTCCCACGTGATGTTGCTTTCTGCGGGAGGAATGACCCATATTTCATGTGGATAGGCGCTTGTTTCCGGCAGCCTTCAAAACGCATTTATCTACAGTCGGCGAAAGCTGCATGCGTTTTACTATGCTCTTTGCTTTTGTGTACAGTTCATGTCGAAAATGCATGGGGTACTAGACCTATGCAGAGAATTTATCACCATGGGTTTAGCTTGTATGTCGACTGTAAATTTATATTTATGTTGTGGCTTTGAACTCATGATCATCTTCAATTTAAATAATTAATGTCTTGGAATATTCAACCGTCCAAACTTTTTTGTTGTTGGAGAAGCAGGTTTGGTTTATAAGAATTCTAATGACACGACTATAAAGGAGGCAACGCTTGAACTTTTCTTTTTAGAAATTAATTTAATTAGGCCTATATCAAGTTAATTTACAGCTATCAAATTACGAATGAAATAGCCTAACAAATAAAGACATATCCATGTCATGGATTAAACCACTAGCCTAAGGCCATTGGTCTGAAATGGTTGTCGTTTTATACGTCAATTGAACATGTTAATTGACATATACATTAAAAACAATAAATGTTATCCATAATGTTAGACTTACAAGCTGCTCTTTTGACTATCAGTTTTTATATTTGACAGAAAAATTATTGCCATCAACCGACCCATGGCGATGCGACGCACGATGCAGGTTAGATGACACCAATATTATTTCGAGAAAACAAGTTCCCTTAGTTTTCTTTTTAGCTATACCGTTGCAAAACGAAAATAATTTTTTTTTGTATGCAGTTATCAGAGCTAGAATATTGAAATTAATTAGATTTTAAAAACGCAAAAAGCTCTTAAATGCAATCTTACATTTAATCTTACAAAACCAATGGTATCTTTGAGGAGTTATCTAAAATATTCACTGATGTGGAGGAATTTCTATTCGGTGAGAGATAAAAATATAGGCTAAATCCAAAAATAGCAACTGTTTCAAAAGGCATGATTATTACAGATTATGCCTATATTAAGAGAAATATTAAAAACAACTGAAATAATTAGATGCCGTTCAAATAACACAATAACAACAATAATAATAACAATAAGAAGAAGAAGAAGAAGAAGAAGAAGAAGAAGAAGAAGAAGAAGAATCATCATTTATAGATGTATAAACGTATATATGAATAAAAATGAATAGGCCTAACTTGTATGCCTAACTCATAATAGCACATTTACCATTGGCCCATGAGTCTCTCCTCTCTTAATAATGTAATTCTCCTCATCAATACAGCAGGACACAAGATCGGTATACTGGCTGACATTGATAAATGATCCAAGCAGCCCACAGCAAACTAGACAAACGAATATATCCTTGAAAAATACAGCAATATCAACGAGTCTCATAATAAATCGATATATGAACGAATGTATCTCAATCCATGTTTTGTTTTAGGCTATAAGACCCAGCTTCAAATGTATTTTTTTCCCTTTTGCCGGGGAGTGACATCATACCAATTTATTTGAAAATATATTAAATTCTCGAAGCTCCCACACTTATTTTTGTGGCATATGCCTATTGTTCTTTTAAAATGGTGTCTTGATAAAAACGACCGAGTGTGGCTTTGGGATTCAGAGTTGGCTATCTCAGTGTATTTCGAAAACTGGTCGGTCATCCATCATTCCTGCCAGCCTCAATCAATAAGAAACGGTCGTCCTATATCGTGCTATATCGACTAAAACTGTAACGTGACCTCATGTGTGAATACGAATTGTTGTTTGTTATTACGAAAACTTTTTTTTTACAAAGATATCCAATATTTAATAAATGTCTACTATCGGTAGAGCACGAGGTAGCTAATATGCAAATATTGCCCAAACAGCAAACCAAAAACTATCCAACTGAATTAGGTCACAGTATCATATTATAGTATTAACTCAATATCTAACTTTTCTTTCTCTCTAAGGTGCTGAAAAAAGACTCCTGAGGTCAACTTTTAATATTAGTTTTTATTTTGGTATTTAGTGCAGAAACCTTTCCCTTCTTCCTGTGTGCTATAAAACTATTGTAATATGATCTAAATGGAAGTAGGTCCAGGATCCACCTTACCAGTATGAAGTCAACCCATCAGCTCTTTAGTCTGATTTCAGGAGAACACAGAACAATCCAAATCAAAACAGAGTAATAAAAAATATATGATATTCATTCAGTGCATGGGCAATAAAAGCATTTGGGCAACATTCAGAATACAAATAAAAAGAGGGCTTGGTTTTTTGTTGGGAGCTGGATGGAGCTGCAGTCTGCAGCATCGGAGACAAGCTCCAGGCTGCAGACTCTGAGGCAATCTCTCTCTCGCTCTCTTTCTCTCGTTCTCTCTGTTCCACAGCACATAGGGGTGGGATTAGTGATAAACTCTCACTCTATAAACTAATGATCACAAAGCGCAAACATGGATAAAACAGTCAAATGAAAAAGCACAAGTCTATACACCACAACAGTTATTCAAACTCTTCATAATGTTTTACGATATTCCAGTGGTTGTTTTCAAATGGGGTGTTCATAAGATGAAGTGTGTGTTTTTGTGTTAGTGTGTGTGTGTGTGCGGGCTGTGCCAATATATCTTGGGTAAAGACTAAAAGGTTCTTGTCCCCATGGTCCACCATTGTAGAAAAATAAATTAATAATTTAAAAAACAAAACAAAAAATTTGTCAAAATGTTGTTGAGGTCCTTTTAGCTTCCGTTGTTCATTCAGAAGTCTTTTTAATTTTGGAAGATTGTTGTTGTCTGCAAATGTTGTTGTTTTTGTTGTTGTTTATTAGTAGATCCCCCTCTTCCTCCAGGCATGATATTATTAAAGGTCAATGTGGGCAGGGTTTGTGCAGATGTGGGTGTGGTCCTCTATGCTCCAGTGGGGAGGTGAGGTGGGCGTAGTCCGATGACGGGTACAGGTGTGACTGGGGCGGAGTCACGCGCTCATTGGACCAAGTGGCAGGATTTTCCCTGAGCAAACCATGGAGGCCTGTAACACAAAGAAGAAGCCTGGGTCAGTCTCTTTTACAAACATACCCTAACACACTGCAAATACAGAACCTAAATCTTATAAGGTAAAGACAATGCTACACATGACAGAGCCAGATATAGGCCTTACAGCATGTACATACATTTGGACATTGCTGGTTCAGTGGTGTAATTCTTAAGGGATCTTTTAATAGACAAATGTTATGGCTCTGACTCCATTATGCATGGGATAACTGCATTTTACTGCAAAACAACCCCACATGGAACCCTTGGGTAAGTGTACAGCCATCACAATCAGCATACGGTCTCACCACAGATTAAATTAGGGGAGGAGAACAGCCTCCTGTATTATGCCATTACAGTAACCGGTCAATGATCATTCAATGAGAAATGATTGGATGAAATAGTCTCAAAATTATATTATTATTCAGCTTGAGTGAATAAGATATCTCTATGTGGACTGTATTATAAATTTAGGCGGTGCACCCTCGCTGCTATCACCATCATGCTCTTTGGACTTGATTAGCAAAATCAGGGAATTGTCGGGAAGGGAAAAGGAGCTGTGTTGGCGGAATTGGCGCCCGGTGAAGATTGAGGCGAACACAGGACTCCCTATTTACATATAAAGAGCTCAATTAATCAAGGTAAGTGTCATTATAGCGTGGCTCATTGAGCAGTGGAGTGTGGGTGTTAAATAAAATCTGGTGAGCTCCAGTGCCTCCGGCAGGCGATACGTCTTGATTTGTGAACTGTCAGCAGGGCCAGAGAGCTGATAGGGCTGGAGGGGGACCGAGGGAGTTGAGAACCCCACACTTAATCAGATTGGGCCCCGAGAAGGAGAGGAGGATGGAGAGGAGAGAAACATTTAGAAAGAGAGAGAGATGGAATGGAGAGGGATCAAGGAACGATTGAGGAAGGGGGTGAGAAGGAGAGCAGATGAGTGAGAGAGGGTGAAAAATGTAGAAAGAGAGAGAGAGAGATGAAGTGATGGAGAGGGATAGAGGAACAATGGAGGAGGGGGACTTGTGGGTGAAAATTTAACAGGGGAGCGAGATTGAGGCAGTGTTTACTTCTCCATCTTCTTCTTCAGGCTTGCCTCGGTTGGAGAGGGTTTACATGTAGTGCCACTGACCATCCATCCCCATATTCATTCCCATTCCACCCATTGGTCCTGCAGAATGAGTGACAGAGAGGGGAACTAATTACATGGTGCAAACACAGGTTTATATAACAATATACAATAATAACCCATGAATAGACAAACAGAACATAAACAGATTCTACGCTACATTGGTAGAAAGGAACAGATAACAGGGTGAGAATAAAGGTTGCTTAGTTACCACCAGGCCGAATCCCCAGGTGTTGCTGTCCATCGAGTACAAAGCCTCCCATTGGTTGCCCGTCAGGGCTGTATGCTGTCCCCTGGCCCACTGTGGATGTAACATAAACCAGACATGGGTCAGTATATACTACTAGATTATACTTTTATTTCTATGGGTGAGTATAGAGATATAATACTAGATTATAATTATATTTCTATGGGTCAGTATAGAGATATAATACTAGATTATAATTAAATTTCTATTGGTCAGTATAGAGATATAATACTAGATTATAATTATATTTCTATGGGTCAGTATAGAGATATAATACTAGATTATAATTATATTTCTATGGGTCAGTATAGAGATATAATACTAGATTATAATTATATTTTTATGGGTCAGTATGTGTCGAAGCCAAAAGACAGAAGAGATAAACCATTACAATAAAAGTGGCATTCAAAACATCCTTATCTACATTACAAAATCATGCAGTATAGTACAATTAAAAACATGACATGGGAAACATTGCCATTGTATCTTATTAATATAAACCAATTGAAATAGTGGTTTACCTGCTCTGTTAGACTGGTCAATCATAGGCTGTACTATTCTCCTCCTGGCGTTGATGAACCTGGAGAGGAAGAGAGAAGTGAGAGAGAATGGCGAGAAAATTCAAACCAACATGGAATGTACAGTCCATGAAGCTTCTCCTTGGTTTTAGATCTCCTTTGCATTTATCTCCCTGGTCTGCTTAAAGGAAAAGTCCACCCAAAAACTATCTTTTTGTATTTGTTTCATTAGTCCATTGTCCATCATATGATGCTAAATGCATCATACGGGCCAGATTTCTGTATTTTGAAAGTTAAATATCTTGAAAACTTGATTGTTGACATGCAAAACATTTTGGGACTATATCAACAACGGACTAATGAAACAAATAAAAATATATAGTGTTTGGGTGGAGTTTTCCTTAAAGATAACTATACACAATCAAACAGAATCTGACAATTTCCTACGCCAGTTTTACTAGCATTCCAATCTCTCGTGTCTTCAAGGATTAGGTTTATAATCAGTCTTATTCTTATTGACATGATCTGGGGTATTAGGAGACAGCCACATAGCTTACCAGATCTATTGATTTGGGTTTAGCCCCTTCAGCCTCAGGCTGTAATAAAGCTAAACGTTTGGCCAATTTCGGTCAGAGACATACCACTTTACCCAACAGGACAGACAGATAGGTAAGCTAAGCATTCGCCTGCTTTAATAAGTGTATTGAAGTAGAGCCATGAATAAAACTTATAGAATTCTTAACTCCTCGGGATTAGAGGTGCAGGTCTATGTAATTAGGTGTGTTGAGAACCCAATACACTTAAAGAAGACCCTACCATGGACTCTGGGATGGGGGAGGATTAATCGTGAGAAGCCAAAGTCATATCAATTATTCCAAACCTGACCCTGTGTAAGCTCCAAGTAAAACGATGCCTTTTAGATAAGACACCAGAAATGTATCCTCGAAACCAAATCCCAAACTCCCCTAAATATGTTCCTCTTTCCACTGTGATCATTACATTGGACCCCACCCCCCTTCCCAAAATGTGCTAAGCCATCTACAAAGGGGCCGAGTTGTCGGGCCTTAAAGATGCTTTAATCCATCATGTCATACATGTAAAATGAGGCTGAGGGATTGTGAAGGGGGGGAGAGCGGGGGGAGGGGAGGGGAGGGGGAGGGCGGGGGAGGGGGGGGGGGGGGGGGGGGGGGGGGGGGGGGGGGGGGGGGGGGGGGGGGAGGGGGGGGGAGGGGGGGGGATACATCTCCCTGTTAATGTTTCAGAGTGTCCACCAGACGGTGAAGATAGATTGAGTATGTATAACACTTCCATTTTAGTTCCAATTCCAAAGAGCTGAGTTTAGAATGTGCTGGCTTCTCCAAAAACATGGCTGTAGCATAGATTTAGACAGGAGACAATGAGCCAGTCCTGGGAGGAGGTAAGAAGGAAAGAAGAAAAGGAAGAAAGAAAGGAGAGAATGAAGCACAAGGGTTAGGGTTAGCGTGGGGCCTTGGGGGTTAGCTACTCACCAGTTGTTCACTTGCAGGATGGTGAGGCCTGTGTCCTGTGCTAGCTGCTTCTTCTGTTCCTCTGAAGGGTAAGGGTGCTGTGGTAGATGGAGGACAGAAAAAACAACATCTTCAGTCAAAAAATAAATAAACACCCAGCTTGCATTCATTTAGAACGATCATGTCTAGACAGAAACACACCGCACATACGACCAGGGTCTTTCCATTCACACCCTAAGGGAAAGTCAAACTCAGGAAATGTAATCACGCCCAGTGACTGACTCACATCCACAGTGACCCTTGGCTAATATACACACAAGTCTATCTCTCTAGTTAGCATAAGCACAAGTGAACAACCAAGACTGACCACTGATTGGCCCCCAACCACTTTGGGCTCAAAGCGTGTGGCATTATTTGACATGATTTGACAAATGATCAGATGTGATACAAAGGAACACAATGGCCACCTTTGTTAGGGCCTGAATAGGGCCCGGCTCCTGTCCCCCTGTCTCCCTGTCCCCTGCCTCGCTGCTGGCGGTGTGTCAGAGGGAGGAGGGCGGCAGATTGCAGACAGAGTTTGCCCATTTACAGGGTACAGGGTGGTGGGCGCTGTCAGGGCCTCAGCCACCTCCTGTGGTCACCGGGTGAGGGATGAGCTCCCAAGCACATCATTTTTAAACAGGCCTTTCAGACACACACACACACACAGTCACACACAGAGCACACACACACAGGCGCACACAGAGCACACACAAACACACAGTCACACACAGAGCACACACACACACACAGTCACACACAGAGCACACACACATGCACGCATACAAGCTCACAAGCGCATGCATGCACGCACGCACGAACACACACACACACACAAACACACAGCGCACACACAGACACACATAAACCGCAATGGTGGTGACAAAAGCCATTGTTGCCACAAGTGATCGTCATGGTCACCTCCCAGCTTGGTGGCTGACAGTCTAGTGACGGATGGCTCAGTGCTCCTCCCTCAACCCAGCAGAACCTCTCTGTCTTCCTAAATAAAACCTTCTGCTAATGTCTCCAGTCCAATCCAAAGAGTGTTGTCACATTGAGGCCTCGCTCCAATGTATAACCCTTATCAGGTATGCTACTTTACTCAGGTCACCTGTCATTGAGCTGTGGTTAAACAATACTTATTCCTTTGAGCTCCAATAGTGCCTCATGGTAGAACAAGAGCAGCTTTTTATAGCTGTATTTTTGCTAAATGCAGTGTATGTTTGTTGTAACTAATTCAATACATTGGCGTTAAGAGAGCTTCACAAAGATCTATCTCAATCAGCATGTAGGTGGAGGTCTTCAGACAGCATGGCTCGCATGGAAACCAACAGTTACTCTCTGGCCATGCTAATGGGAAAATAAGGAATCCTAGAATGAATCTAATGGGACAATAAGGAATCCTAGAATGAATCTAATGGGACAATAAGGAATCCTAGAATGAATCTAATGGGACAATAAGGAATCCTAGAATGAATCTAAATCTTCCACTGCTGCTTTCTCTGTACCTTTGTAGAGGAGGATCTTTAGAGTTCCTTCTCAGAACAGGGGCACAAAAGCTGAAGGACTAAGACTATCTAGAGAAAGACCCCCTTTCCCCTCCTCAGACCCCAGCCTCGACGGTAAAGTCGGGACGAAACATAATCCGTCTCCTTTCACAATTCACACATGTTGCGAATGGGACCATTCAGAGGACATTGAGGGGCCAAAGTCCCCCTCACACCGTGTTCACGAGGCACATCCTTCCATGACTAACACTTGTGCTTAACCAGTAAGGCTGAAAAGAGACAGGGAACAGAGAGGGGATCATTCAATTAGCCCTCCTTTCCCTCTTATTTTTCTATCCGTCGATTCTAAAGGTTGTTAGAGGAAAGGATTCCTGCCTGTACAGGAGATGTGTGAGAGCTGTTCACCCAGGAAACAAATAAGGACATATGAAAACATCTAAGAGTTGGGAGAGGAGAAAAGTAGAAAACCGGAGGAGGAGGAGGAGGAGGAGGAGGAGGAGGAGGAGGAGGAGGAGTTAGAGACAGTGACGCCGTCTATTGGGCCCGGAGATAAAAAGGTGAAACTTGATTGGTTGGAAGTCGTTGGACTGTCAGATAGTCCTTCTGAGCGTGAACAGAGGAGTTGCATTCTGGGAAAGTAGTCTATTCTGTTTTTGTAAAACGTAGTTCAGACGCTCAGTAAAGTGGTATCATTCCTAACAAGTGTTGTATGACGGAGAGGCTGCAGTTAGACAACATACACTACTTGTCTTTTTTACAGCACACTGTTCCCTAGAGCCACAATTACAGTTTTTTTTACAAAGAAAACATCACAGGGAAAACCGTTCGGTGAAGGACTACAAAGCCACAGACCGAAGCCCCTGTGTTGGATGCAGTAACTTGTATTACTAATACCCCCAGGAGTACTTGGCCTACCCGCATGGGGAATGTGGAAGATTCACAAGATACGTACAAAACATAGGCTTCATGGTTAAATGGATGACAGTCATGACAGGTTGCAAATGAGGGTGTACTTTGCGCAGAGCAAGACGTGATTGGGGTACATGAACCAAAACCACCCCAGTAATGGAGACTGGTTCGGGCTGGAGCTAGACGCTAGGTTGGGCATGCTGTCTTACTGTAAGGTGCTGGAAGAGCCACGCTCGCATGATATTGGTGGCCACTTTGGGGAAGATGCCTCTCTTCTTCTGCCTCTTCTTGTCCTGGTCGTCCTCGTCTCCTGTGCCCTGGCGACGCCAGACTGTTGTCGAGGCCGTCTCCTGAGATAAGAGAACGGATATGTTAGGAGAACTCTTTGATTTAGACACATCACCTCCATTCACGTCACCTCCATTCACATGACCTCCATTCACACCACCTCCATTCGCCAGAGACACACACTGAAAGGGTAGCAGAGGTCTAGGGCATAGCAACAGCATAGCAACAGAAGATTCCACATCTTCACACATTTGCACCACCTTATCCACACTCTGCTATAGTTCTGGATAGTGTAGAGGGTCATATACTGTAGTGACAGAGCTCAATAAAAAATTCTGAGCTATTAATTCAATCAGAGCTGCACGTTTGACATGAGTAATGACTGTTAGAGCCGTGGCCGGACACAATGTGCAGGCAGCAGCATTTTTATTCATACTGAACAAAAATATAAACGCAACATGCAACAATTTCAAAGATTTTACTAAGTTACAGTTCATAGAAGGAAATCAGTCAATTGAAATACATTTATTAGGCCCAAATCTATGGATTTCACATGACTGGGCAGGGGCACAGCCATGGGTGGGCCTGGGAGGGCATTAGCCCACACACTTGGGAACCAGGCCCACCCACTGGGGAGCCAGGCCCAGCCAATCAGAATATGTTTTTCCCCACAAAAGGGCTTTATTACAGACAGGTCTCAAGACGATCCCACAGGAGAAGAAGCCAGATGTGGAGGTCCTGGGCTGGCATGGTTATACGTGGTCTGTGGTTGTGAGGCCAGATGGACGCACTGCCAAATTCTCTAAAACGATGTTGGAGGCGGCTTATGGTAGAGAAATGAACATTAAATTCTCTGGTAACAGCTCTGGTGGACATTCCTGCAGTCAGCATGCCAATTGCACGCTCCCTCAAAACTTGAGACATGTGTGACAAAACTGCACATTTTAGAGTGGCCTTTTATTGTCCGCAGCACATCTGTGTAATGATCATGCTGTTTAATCAGTGTCTTGATATGCCATACCTGTCAGGTGGATGTATTATCTTGGCAAAGGAGAAATGCTCACTAAGAGGGATGTAAACAAATGTGTGCACAAAATTTGAGAGAAATAAGCTTTTTGCAGCTCATGAAACATGGGACCAACACTTTACATGTTGCGTTCATATTTTTATAGACAAATGGTTTAGTTGTAGACAAAAAAGGAAGAAAAGTCACAATAACGAAAAGAACAGTTGTGACCTCATGGTTAAGGTATGACATCACAACAACATAACAAACCCCCTCACCTGTGAAGTTGAAAGCAGGGCTATGTGTGCTAAGGATGTTTGGATGGATGGAGGGGGGTGTTATGGGGCTGCGGGGTTGCGGTCATTCCCCCTCAAGCCCCCCATGTGTTCAGTGACCCACCCTACCCCTTCCATCTTCACACCCCCCTCCAGTCTGTCTGTGTTGGATTGTCTGACTCACACTGTGACACACACACACACACACAGCCACACAACACACATGCACACAGCATCTCTCTCCTACTGGCATTATTAGCCTGGCGTCCTCATTCGATTTCAATGGGAACCGTCGCACGGATCAAGGCTAGAAGGCTCCATTTTAAACTGAGATTTCCGCGGCTTCTGCCCCTGCCCTCGCTCCCCATTGCTCTCCATCACAGCACCCTCTGTGCACTCTCTCTCTCTCTCTCTTTCTCTCTCTCTGTCTCTTTCCTTCTCCCTCTCCACCATTAATTGTGCATCAGCCGAGATGATTTTCTTTTAACAGTGGTGGTTATTTTTCTTGCCCTCGGGGCAGAGATGCCTTGAAAGCCTGCCTGGAGGGCATGTGAATAATGCATCTGAGAAACTCCTCCCCGGAGGCGGGACTGGAACCCTACTTTTCATAAGATTTGCCCTGGCATGTCTTTTTGTTTTTGGGGATGCATCAATCAAAGGGGTTCTATATATGCACCCATAATCATGCATAAATATTTCAGCTAATGAATATTGACATTAAAAAGGATGAGTTGGACTGAGTGGGGTGGGGTTGTGTGGGGGTGGGGAGGTGTTCTGACAGATGGTGTAGTCTAAGTCAAGGACATGACAGGGCAGGTTGTTTGGCCTCTATTCCTCACCCTCTCTATTTATAGATGTTATAACAAGCTGTTATAACAGTTTTCTTTTCTAAGTTGTCGGTCTTATGACTGATAGAAATTAGGTTTGTTGTAGGAAGAGAGTACTTGGAGGATGGTGTTGAAGAGATCTGTCGTTTCAGAGAGGACAGTTAATGTCCTGTCTCACAGGCTGGAAGAGACATTCTTTTCAGAAATGCCTTGAGTGGTGAAATAATCAATAAAAAAATGATACCTATCAATGATTAAACATTTGTTGATTTTAAATCATTAGTTATGTTTTTGAACCAAATAACTGAAAATAATGTAAGAGAGAAAAAGAAAAGAAAGAAAATGAGAGAAAGAATGAAAACCAGAACAACCAGAATGAACCAGAACAACCAGAATGAACCAGAATGAACCAGAACAACCAGAATGAACCAGAATGAACCAGAACAACCAAATTAACCAGAATTAACCAGAATGAACCAGAACAACCAGAATGAACCAGAACAACCAGAACAACCAGAACAACCAGAAGAACCAGAACAACCAGAATGAACCAGAATGAACCAGAACAGCCAGAACAACCAGAATTAATCAGAATGAGCCAGAATGAGCAAGAACAGCCAGAACAGCCAGAACAGCCAGAACAGCCACAATGAACCAGAATGAACCAGAACAACCAGGATGAACCAGAATGAACCAGAATGAATCAGAATGAACCAGAACAGCCAGAATTAACCAGAATTAACCAGAATGAACCAGAACAGCCAGAACAACCAGAACAGCCAGCACAACCAGAACAGCCAGAACAGCCAGAACAACCAGAACAACCAGAACAGCCAGAACAGCCAGAACAACCAGAACAGCCAGAACAACCAGAACAGCCAGAACAACCAGAACAGCCAGAACAACCAGAACAGCCAGAATAGCCAGAACAGCCAGAAGTCACCAGCACGGCCTAATTATATTTCAAGAGCGTTAACCCCTCCTGGCCCCCCTCCTCCTCTCACCCCAACCCTCTCTTTTTTCCTGCTCCAGAGAGGGAAGGCCGCAGGGCAGATCCTCTGCTACGGTAATCGCTTCTGACTGTTCCCTGGCAACTCAGCCAATCTAACCAGTGTGACGGTGCACTACTCTCAAAATCGTACCCGTGGAACGCTCCTCCCGTGGCCTAGCCCCCTCGCCTGCCTGCCCCGCTCCCTCCCTCCCTCCCTGCCTCCCTCCCTGCCTGCCCTAGTGTCTGCACTCGTGACATGGGGGGGCCTGCTGCCGTGGGGAAGGCTAGAGTATTGCCTGGGGCGGGCTCTCTCTCTCTCTCTCTCTCTCTCTCTCTCTCTCTCAATTCAATTCAATTCTAATTCAATTCAAGGGCTTTACTGGCTTGGGAAACGTATGTTAACATTGCCAACGCAAGTGAAGTAGATAGTAAACAAAAGCGAAATAAACAATAAATTTTAACAGGAAACATTACACTCAGAAGTTCCAAAATAATAAAGACATTTCAAATGTCATATTGTGTATATATACAGTGTTGTAACAATGTACAAATAGTTAAAGTACAAATGGGAAAATAAATACACATAAATATGGGTTGTATTTACAGTGGTGTTTGTTCTTCACTGGTTGCCCTTTTCTTGTGGCAACAGGTCACAAATCTTGCTGCTGTGATGGCACACTGTGGTATTTCACCCAGTAGATAAGGGAGTTTATCAAAATTGGGTCTTTTTTTAAATTCTTTGTGGATCTGTGTAATCTGAGGGAAATATGTATCTCTATTATGGTCATACATTTGGCAGGAGGTAAGGAAGTGCAGCTCAGTTTCCACCTCATTTTGTGGGAAGTGTGCACATAGCCTGTCTTCTCTTGAGAGCCAGGTCTGCCTTTGGCGGCCTTTCTCAATAGCAAGGCTATGCTTACTGAGTCTCTACATAGTCAAAGCTTTCCTTAAATTTGGGTCAGTCACAGTGGTCAGGTATTCTGCCACTGTGTACTCTCTGTTTAGGGCCAAATAGCATTCTAGTTTGCTCTGTTTTTTTGTTAATTCTTTCCAAGGTGTCAAGTAATTATATTTTTGTTTTCTCATGATTTGGTTGGGTTCTAATTGTGTTGTTGTCCCGGGGCTCTGTGGGGTCTGTTTGTGTTTGTGAACAGAGCCCCAGGACCAACTTACTTAGGGGACTCTTCTCCAAGTTCATGTCTCTGTAGGTGATGGATTGTTATGGAAGGTTTGGGAATCACTTCCTTTTAAGTGGTTATAGAATTTAACAGCTCTTTTCTGGATTTTTATAATTAGCAAGTATCGGCCTAATTCTGCTCTGCATGCATTATTTGGTGTTTTTCGTTGTACACAGAGGATATTTTTGCAGAATTCTGCATGCAGAGTCTCAATTTGATGTTTGTCCCATTTTGTGAATTATTGGTTGGTGAGCAGACCCCAGACTTCACAACCATAAAGGGCAATGGGTTCTATAACTGCTTCAAGTATTTTTAGCCAGATCCTATTTGGTATTTCACATTTTATGTTCCTTTTGATGGCATAGAAGGCCCTTCTTGCCTTGTCTCTCAGATCGTTCACAGCTTTGTGGAAGTTACCTGTGGCGCTGATGTTTAGGCCGAGGTATGTATCGTTTTTTGTGTGCTCTAGGGCAACGGTGTCTAGATGGAATTTGTATTTGTGGTCCTGGCAACTGGAGCTTTTTTGGAACACCATTATTTTTGTTTCACTGAGATTTACTGTTAGGGCCCAGGTCTGGCAGAATCTGTGCAGAAGATCTAGGTGCTGCTGCAGGCCCTCCTTGGTTGGTGACAGAAGCACCAGATCAGCAGCAAACATTATACATTTTACTTCTGATTCTAGTAGGGTGAGGCCGGGTGCTGCAGAATGTTCTAGTGCCCTCGCCAATTCGTTGATATATATGTTGAACAGTGTGGGGCTTAAACTGCATCCCTGTCTCACCCCATGGACCTGTGGAAAGAAATGTGTGTGTTTTTTGCCAATTTTAACCGCACACTTGTTGTTTGTGTACATGTACATGTCTCTTTCGCTCTCTCTCTCTCTCCTTTTCTCTCTCTCATCAACAACATCAGAGACCAGTGCTCCTACGGTTAGGTATAAACTGGGACAACTAGATGAGGCAAGAGAATCCACATGATGACATCTCCATATCAGACAAAGTGCAGGGTGAGCTATTAGCAAACAGAACTGATCGCTGTATCCCGGCCTGCATCAGTGATGGGAACCCAGTGCAGCTTGCCTAATGAGCTCACCTGGACCTGATCCATCACCAATGACACTTCCCAGCCCCTCCTGTTATTACCCATGATGCACACTGCTAAATGGGAGCTGTTGTCTGGAAGCTTTCCAAGACACTGGGAATCCTATATTGATGTTGATGAATAGATCTAGAATCGTTCCCCCTATAGGCCTATATCCTATTGATTTTGAGTGGTGATTGGTAAGGGTTAGATTGAGATGAACACTTCTAGTTCTTGTGCCTCACTCCCTTGTTATTCGTGAGAACATCTTGTGACAGGTTAAATGGGGACATTAGCCTGCAGTGTCATTGGTATGTCACCACCAGCAGTTCTGGATTCCATCTTCGGTGGTATCCGGAGGAGACAAAAAGATGCACTGACTGCATCCTGTTTCTTCCCTCTCTGCATTGCCCTCTTTTTAAACGCTAGTGTACTGCGGCTTCACAGCAGCTAGCTCCCCTTGGGTTCCTTTCGTTTTTTATTTTTGACTTTGTGATGGACATTCCAAGCCCTGCCTCCCAAAAAACATTCCTAGGATAGCTCATCCCTTTTAGAACTGTCCCTGTGACCCATTTATCTGAGAGTCACTCTGGGGGAGGTGGAATCAAAGACATTCCCCTCTGCATATCACGCAGCTTACAAGAAAACAACCAAACACTGTATAAGCCAATGGGTTAGTGGTTAGCCATACGGCTAACATAGCCACAAAGCCATAACTACACCACCAACCAACCAACCAACCAACCACATATCAACTACCTGTGGTTGATACCACGTGGCAACCACACTAACCATGATGCTCCCCCATTAGATAAGAATGTAGGTTAACCATTTTAAGGCTTTTATCATTGGCCCAAACAACCACGACTAATGTCCATTAGGACAATAGGAGCTCCCTCATAGTAGGTACTTTGAAGAGCATCAGTAATCTCCTAGCCAGGCCTGCATTACTGACGGAAAGGCCCTGCTTTGGCCCCCAGTTCCCTTCCTATGTTAAAAGTGTTTACTTTCCTCATCCCCTTGAAAACAAGGGATGAAAACAAGGGATGAAAACAAGGGATGAAAACAAGGGATTAAAACAAGGGATAAAAAAGAGCAAAGAGGCCCCAGGAGGAGCAGGGGGAGCAGCAGGAGGTATAGGAGGAGTAGCAGGAGGAGCAGGGGGAGCAGCAGGGGAAGCAGGGGGAGCAGGAGGAGCAGGGGAGGAAGGAGGAGCAGCAGGAGGAGCAGGGGGAGCAGCAGGAGGAGCAGGGGGAGCAGAAGGAGGAGCAGGGGGATCAGGTGGAGCAGAAGGAGGATAGGGGGAGCAGCAGGAGGCGAGGAGCAGGAGGAGCAGGAGGAGCAGAAGGAGGAGCAGCAGGAGGAGCAGGAGGAGCAGGGAGGAGCAGGTGGAGCAGCAGGAGGAGTAGCAGGAGGAGCAGGGGGAGTAGGGGGTAGGCAGGGCAGCATCAGATCCTGCTACCAGTCACTATGACTGGGCCTCTGATCATTCTGGGGCTTTTTCTCCCTTTGTTCCTCCATACATAAAGTGGCTCTGTCCTTCCCAGCTCCACGGCAGGGGGGATTGTGCTTCCCCAGCCTCTATGCATTCTCTACCCAGGTCAAAAGGGCAGGGAGGCATGGACTTTGGGTGTCCCCCCGCTGTTGTTTAAAAAATAAAAAATAAAAACTCTAGAGGAACCAAGGAAAAAGCCATTCACACCATGCTCTTCCCCTCTCTTTGCTGACAATACAAGTCATATAGTCAGTGTTACTGTGTTCGGGCATACAATGACATTAAACATGCCATGGATATTAGGCTAAGTGAAATTCATTGAACATGTTTTTCAGATAGTTAGGATAAGTGAAGAAACTGTGGTAAAATCAGAACTTAATATTTTTTTCTGACTGTCCTTTCATCCTCTGAACTGCTCTTGTCTTGCAAAGCATCCTCCCATTGTTTAGCTCAATGCTCTGTTATTGATGCCTGATGGGCAGAGGGTGGTAAGTTGCTTTGAAGTATTCTATTTTTACTGTGGCCGTAGGAGAGAAAAACAAAAACAAGTGGTAAAACCCTTACAGCCTCCACTGAGCTCATCACAGGCAAAATGAACAGCCGCCACACGGACAGAAAACCAAGTAGGCTATTATACAACAATACTGGACACAATCATGCAAAACCAGTAATTGGCAATAATGACCCTTATCATATCAGATTAAACTTTTGAATTTTATCACCTGACCTGGATAGGTGATAAAACTACAAAGTCACCATCAAAACCCAGTAAACTATCTGTTGATTCAGCAACAACCTCTTATCTCAACTTCATCTGAATGATAAGGATAGAGCAACGATAACTGCTTATCATTCGGATCTTTGGAGAGGCTAAGTTTGATCTACAGCCGACAAGTAGAGAAAATACCATTGCCTTTGTATGAGGTCAGCACTGAGGAAAACCTTTGATATGGAGTAGAGTCTAAAGAGAAGCTATGGGTCTCTTACCGAGTTCACTGCTGTTGTCCCCACTCTGGGAGACGTGGCCCCCACTGGAGGGCCCAGGGGTGCCCACGGAGGGCGTGGAGTGAGCGTCATCCAGGTCTCTCCAGGACGCTGGGTTCTGGGGTCCACAGAGAGGGTCATCGGGTCATCAACATATCCCCCATCCCGGCCACACAACATCAGAGGAGAGAGAGAGAGAGAGAGAAGAGAGGGAGAGAGAGAGGAGAGGAGGAGCGAGGAGAGACCAGGGAGAGGAAGAGGAGAGAGCAGCGAGGGAGAGAGGAGAGAGAGAGAGAGAGAGAGAGGAGAGAGAGAGAGAGAGAGAGAGTAGAGAGAGAGGAGAGAGAGAGAATCGGAGGAGGAGAGAGGGGAGAGGGAGACGTGAGGAGAGAGAGATGAGAGAGGACGGGGGGAGGGAGAGAGAGGAGAGAGAGAGAGAGGAGGAGACGAGCAGGAACAGAGAGAGAGACAGAGAGAGAGGAGAGAGGAGATCACATGAGAGACGTGGATACAGATACATTACTCAACATCAATGTTGCTAACGCACATCACACCACACACTACACACACACACACACACACACACACAAACCCAGCCAATATACCACAGTGCACAATATTGAACAACATGACCATGTCGTCAATAAGAAAATAGAACATGTCCAAACAATCCATAATCCAATAACCCCAAAATCAAAGTTACCATTTTCCCTGAGACTGAGACGGCGCCAAGAAAAGAACTAACAAAAACCGTTAAAGCTGATATTCAGCTACACTAGCTAATCCTGTAGAACCAAACCAATCAGCACCAGAGCTCCAGCAACACTTCTTCCTATCCTCTATCCTCCGGTGTCTTGACTGATTATGAAGCCCAGTGGTCTCTCTGAACACCTATTTATTGGGCTATATAGACACAGGGACCAGGGTACTTAGACAATCTAAAGCTGAGGGCCAAACAGCAGAGCAACCTCTTCAGCCTCTTGGCGTCAGCTGTTCGCCGGATGGCGCTCAGATGAAGAGCTCAGCCAACGACAAGAATAATCATGGCAACAATGGCAGCGCAGTGTGAATGAGGCCTCTCATCGAGCTCGACGAGCAGGCCCCCTTTTCCATCCCAAAGCACAGTAATTAGAAAGCTGTTTGTGTGACGTCCCCATTCAAAGTTCCATGTGTTTTCACGTTTATCAAGCTAATGAAGGCGGTTCTATACTCAATCACACCCCAGCTGTTAAGAAGACATTAATTACTGATACAGTGAGGTCTCTCCTTCTTTAAAATGTATCTTAGAAACTGAGATCCATGAAGGTAGAGAAGTTAAGATAATACAAATAAATCAACTGATGACATCATAACTGATTTCAACTGATCTTCAATCACAGTAGAAATTGTCGTATCAGCTAGCTGGTTAAGCTGACTGAAATTGCAATTTTTCAAGCCAGTCGTCCCTTAACTTAGATGAGTCTTCTTACTCTGTAAGTTTATGATATAAACATGGATACTGAGCAGCTCTCTCTTGGATATAGGCTGGGTTGTGGACTCACTCTAATAGGGATATGAGCTCACATTTCCAAAAGAGAGGCGGAGTTGGTGTGTCACGAAGAGAAGCATTGTCAGGCCGACATACTGTACGTACTTGCCCTCATTGTGAGGTTTACCTGCCTTCAATTTAGAAATAGAATTAGTAAACTCCAGAAGATTTTTCATTAACTTCTCACACGTACACTAGTTACTTTTAGTCTCACAATTCAGACAGTTGTTACCGAAATAATGCAGATGTAAAAGACTGGAAATGGAGGCTGAAGTTGCCTTCACAACCACTAATCAACACAGCTACACAAACAGATGTTGTTCTTTTCAAACAGGAAGTAGGCCCAACATAAAGAGTGGTTGGCATTCACATACACCGTTCTGCGTGTGTATTGCATCTGTCCTTACACCACAGGAGGCTGGTGAGGGGAGGACTGCTCATAATAATAGCTGAAATGGAGTAAAGGGAGTGGCATCAAACACATGGAAACCACATGTTTAATGTGTTTACGTAAAATGTAGGAAGCATGACTGTAAGTCTGTTTGGATAAAAGTGTCTGCTAAATGGCGTATATTATTATCATATTACAAAGACGTTCACATACACTGTTCTGCATGTGCCCTAACACCCAGAGAAGTTCAGCCCGTACATAATGCATTGGACAAAAGGTGAACTGGATCACAGGACGGCCAGCAGCAGAATGTCCTGTCAGATAAGTGAACCTTGAACAATGTTCACAATACATACAAAGTGTGTTTGTGTCTACAACCACTGAATGAAGAAAATGCAACACCACCTAAAAATGTGAATGCAATGGAATGAAATGTGGACAGAAGACAGAATTTCATCTGGTAGTCATAAGAGGCTTACTTCTGATAAACCTACTTAGTATACAGGACAGCAATCTAATATGAGGAATCTCCCCAACTCAAAGTTCCTGCCATTGCTCCAGTATCATAGGGTTATTAAGGAACCATGCCATCTGAATTGACATGTGACAGGGGGGAGGAGAAAGAGCCCGTGTAGAGGGCACCCTATAGGCCCATGGATTGACAAAGACCCTCCTCTTTACCGATAATAGTAATCCAATTGGTTTAGCGTTCAAGTGTAATATCAAACGCTAGTCCTCAGAGCCCTCTAAGAAGGGAGGGAGAGGGGAAAGACCCAACAGGACACATCCAGCTGTACTCTTCATCATGCAGACCCCATCCTCATCATCAACACCACCATCATCATCATCATCACCACCATCATTAACATGATTCTCATCATCATCACCATCATAATCATCATAAATCTTAATTGATCTATTACTAATATATTAGCTGAAATTAAAAACATAAAAAATGCAATTAAGGAAATAATATAAACTAATATAAAATGTGCTTCCTAATAAGCACACATTGTCATCTAATTGTCATTCTCTCTCTGATTAACAGATAATGTCGATTATTTCTACAATAGAGCTGAAGGGGAAGTACCCTCTCTCATTCCTCCTCTTGTTAAGAAGACACGAGAGCTCTACGAAACTTCCCTCAGTACACAACACCCTTAACAAGGCTGGACAAAATTAAATGGGAACACACATGAATTAAGGGACTGATTTAGCTGACATTTATGTGCATTTAATTACTTTTTGTTGATAGGTTATTAATACAATAATTGTTTAATAGTTACCAGTAAATTAAATGTGAGACCTTTATTTTAAAAACTGCTGATTCAATTTCTTATCTATTAAACTGACTCACAATTATGCTAAATTGCCCACGATCTTGAAATTATAGTTTGTACATCCTAAACACCATGCTTTTAGCAGCACCCCTTGCCAAAATTAGCACTAATATGTCATTTCGAAACCTAGACACTCACGTGATCTGCTAGATTTGCGGAAGATCCCGTCAGGTCATCTAAATCGGATTTGCAGCCATCTCGATCGTCTATGACCAAGTCGATGGGCATTTTGCCTTTCAAACAACTGATGTACCGATGGCAGAAATTGTCGCAGAGCTCATGCACCTATTCAATGAAAATGTGTGTTAGCAGCACCCTTACAAGACCTCGGTGCAGCAGCCTAGGCAATGCTTAGGCCTATGTGACTTAGAGTAAAATATTACATTTCAAGAAGTTAAAACTGTGCTGTTATGAATGATTGTATAACGTTCTTACAAAAATATATAATAACAAAAAAAAAGCTAAGATTTACAATAAAACATAATTTACCTTCTCTAATTCTAAAAGATGAAATCGTAATACTTGAATAGCTTGGATCATCTGGAAAAAAAAGAAAATATAACATTTAGGATTTAGTCATGCTGACACGTTTTCCCTCAAATGAATAGTAACTAGGCCTATGTAATAACAACATAAATGAATGAATGCACACTGCAGGCCTATACAGTAAAGTAGTCATATGTTACAGTATGTTACATGACTTAAAACAATGTATTTCCTTATTCAAATGGATGCTTTAGCACAGAACTGGTTCCTAGACAGTCCCTGCTTTGGGGATGCCCAAGGCAAGGACCTCCGCGGCTTGCCGCTGCAGAGGAGCAGAATAGGCCTTTGACTACGACTCGTCTGCGTTTCCTGTTGCACCTTCTATGGAACGTTCTGAATGTTCTTGTTGTATTCAAACAAAGTGAACTCAAACAAGCCCATATCACACGATTTATCCAGCTGCGCAATTGATGCGTAAAAGGTGGACATTTAATTTAATTGGCTTACCAAGTTGTCTACCTCTTGATTCGATGAAAATAACGGTTTTTCTGCACGTATCTATAGAGAAAACATCATATTAGTCTATTGTCTGTATACAGCAATCAATCAGTCAGTCCATCAATAGATCAATCAAACAGGCAAGCAATCAATCAATCCATCTATCCGTCCATCAATTATCAAACATAAATAAATTAAGGAAAATATGTTGAACGTTTAAAAGCACAGATAAAGGGTATAAAAAACCCTATTCCTATCGTTATCTATATTTTAGGTCATAAAAACGGGGCATATCATAAACCACAAGTACCTGTTTTGCAAAGACAGCGATGTCTTCATTGAAGGAGTCTGAGGAGCAAACATCGCCGCCCGCTACTCCAGGCTCCCTCGGCGTGCAGGTCGCCAACTCACACTTCTCAAACACCAGGGCGAGCAGAGGGAACAACGGGTGACTGCATCATGATGCAGACAAAACATCAACATCAATTAGACCAGGAATGTTATATAAACATTTTGTTTAAGTGGACTGCATTGTATTTGAGGTTTCATGATCCGTGTCTTGTATTTGTTTATAGCCTAGCATAGCTGATAAATGTGAAGTGTCTCCCCTCAGAATAAGGGCCACAATCTTGAGATGCGTGCATCCGCGTAAAACACATTATTTGCTCAAAATGTGCAATTGACATACATTCGATTTACGCACGTAGCCTAGTCAAGTTAGGATTTGGTTCTAATTTCTCTAAGTATCAATAAATACTCTAATAACTTCTAAATGTAACGAGTATAGGTATAACAAGAATAGGAAAACCTAGTAGACAAAAAGGTGGAATATTTTTGATGCGCACCCATAGATTTGATCTTTGTCTCTTTTTAGTGCGTCGTTGACCACGCTGCCCATGCTGGGCATGATGTTGTGGGGTGCGTGGGCTCCATAGTGCTGGGTTGGATGTGCAGGCGGACCATGGTTCAGGTGGTGGACTTGCGGAAGCGGCCGAGGAGCATGCGGGTCTCCATACATGGACGCCGGGAGTCCAACTCCGTCCATTCCAACACCATAGTGGGACAGCTCATCGTACTGGATGGAGAAAGACAGAGGTAAATGTGAGAAACTCGTGGACACTGTTGGTATGCTTCTATCACGGACATATCGTAGGATACAGACATCGCCCAAAACACAAGCCTTTACGCATGATAATGACAGTGAACATTAATTTAATCAAATTCCCCATGGATGGAAAACAGAACAACTAATCTAATACAGGGTGCAGACTGCTTAGAAATATCAACTTGTAGGCTACTTGTATGTGGAGAGTTGAGATGTTCTCAGCCTGTCCAGATTACTTATGGGTATTCCAAAAGGAAATTGCAAAGTTCAGTTCGATTAATATGTGGCAGGCGTTTAAAGTCAACTAAGAGATTGTACATTGCAAGTGCACTAAGCCCTACCCTTTGAGCCATCGACATGCGCTTGTCTTGGAGATAAAGAGGTAAGAAACAGGTACTATGTCAGTCCGCAGAGAAGGTGGTCAGGTACTGTGTCAGTCCGCAGAGGGTGGTCAGGTACAGTGTCAGTCCGCAGAGAAGGTGGTGTATCAAATTGATGCCTTTTACATCCAGTTGAGAATTATAATCCGCAGTGGCAATAAAGAAGAAACCCGCAACAAGGTGAAGATGTGTATTTTTCAACAAGAAAAAAAATATTGCAATAGCCTAAATGGAAAAATCACCATAACGGATAAGACCAACTAGAACCTTCGGTTAAAAGTTGTTTCCAAAAAGCGCATCGGACAACGCACATGTATCGGTCCTGCTGTCAATCACTGAGACCGGTTGTCAAGGTAATCTAAATATGGTGTACAGAGATTACTAGTTCCAGAAGGCAGTCTATTCCTCCAACGCACCGCTTTTGAATTAAATCTAATAAGAAAGAACGTCCGAGGATAAACACACTATATCGATGCGTCGGTCCTCGTGGCCATTTCCTCCCGCTCTGAAATGTGAGGGTGTCAGCGAATGTTGGCAGGTTGGCTGTGAGCGCGCTTATAGGATAGACTGGCTCCACTGATCAGCGGGAGAAGGTGATGACAGAACCCGGAAAGAGGGAGGGTGCAACCAGTCCCATACTGCTAAATAAAGGGGGATTGGAGCAATGCCTGTGACACGCCAGCGAATGTTGTTTGCATTGGATAAGGGAGAGGGTGACGCAAAATAACTGTCACCAAGAAAATAATTTGGTAGATGGCAATTCAACACTAACTCTTCCCCTTTAACGTTACCGTCAAGAAAACTGCATTTGTTTGCTTAAATGACCTAACTTGCCCAACTATCTGATGCTTTAACGCAAGGGTTCTGGCGCAAAAGCCTTGAGATGGGAAAAGTGCAGTCTTGAGAAGAGGTGAGAATGATAACCCTAAGGGTTTGGAGTATGGTAAAAAGGAACAATTATTTCCCCCTTTCTGTAGTTATGATCCAGGTAAAATCATAGGCTTACATTAGGCTATGTCATGCATAGCATAGCCTATGGATAGGCACAAAAACAGGAGTTGAATTTCTGCGCAAATAGCCTCACCAATGAGCCTTGACATATTTTTTATATGGCATACTTTTAGCCTATATTTAAAATAATTTGAGCACATATTTTGTTTTTTATGACAGATCTGGGTGCCTTGAAGTAGGCCTGCTGGTCGCGCGCCTGGTTTGGATAACAGTGCAGTTAACATAGTTTACACTAACAGACACTGTATACAGTGGTCATCGTATTGTGTCTGAGAATGTGGGAATGCTTGTGGGAATGCTGTAGGCGTGTTGGCTCGAATTCTCCCAGTCTCTCGGCGTTCCCTTCCTTGACATGGACACCCTACACTCTTAGAAAAAAGGGTTCATTGGAGTCCTATATATAGACCCTTTAGGGGTTCCACGTGAAGCAAGCGAAATAACATGTTTTGGTTATGTAGAACCTTTTTTTCTATTAAAGTAGGCAAAATAAATGCCTACTAGATTTTTTCGAACAAGACTTGCCTTCTGGACCAACAACATGCGCATCAAGGAATTTATGTGGTTTACAGAGAGATACTGGACAGATAAAGATAGATATCCTTATGATTTTGTTGTGACAAATGTCTGAAATACATTATGAAACATCCTGATTTGAAGGTAAGGTGTAGTCCAAGTTAAAATGATTTGGACATGAACATGGGCAGTTATGAAATGCATTTATACATAATTATAAACTATTATTCACATAAAAGGAAGATAGTTGATTTTACAAGGCTAATAATAGGCATATCTTCTAATACTTTTTTTACTTGACTGCAGGGAGGAAATAATTAACGTTTTTGAAGAACAGGAAAAGTAAAGATAGTAGATAGGTTTATAATTACTGTAAATTAAATGTGCATTTTGTGATAGTCAAGAATTTACTTTAGAATAAAAAAAAATCATGGAAAAACAGTATATACAAACCCAAATAACAAAATATAAATATTCGCTCCATTATTAGATTGCAATAAAGAACAGATCTATATTTTTATTCAAATTAAATAAATTACATGTAAATATAGTCCATTGGAGTAAAACAAACTCGACATAATGACATTGTATGGCCTAACCCATCTTGTTCCACCCCTGAAGCTTATGGAGAGAGGAATTTGTTTGATTCCGATGTTTAAAAACAACAGCAGCTTGGCAACGACCACATTTCTTCGAATGTTTGTTTAAAACGGTTCATATGCGGAATACAAAAATAAAACTTCGGATCTTGGTAAATCTGTTCCCTCTTCGCTCTCCTGCAGGCTTACAGTTCGGGTAAGTATAGCCTACCTAGCCTACCAAAATAATTGGTTCGGGTCAACAAGAACACTACCTCACTTCACTGACATATGATATCAGACCCTCCACTTAAAAAATGTAAGCCTGAGTGCCTATAGCTGTCTGAAGATCTGTAGGTTAGTCCTATGGCTACCAACTCAAGGCCTAGTTTAACAGACGATTTGACTCTTCTGTAGGCTACTCCAATTTCAATGTAACGTTAGAGAATAATGGGAGTGACATCACTGATAAACCTGCCCTAACTTCTGAAGATGACACCTTATGAAACCAATTGGATCTGAAATGGTTACGAAGTTACTGAATTCCATTGCCATTTAGCGGCTCGAGGAAATGAGCCTCCCGACCTTTGTGATTGAACAATATTTTGTTTTAAAATTGTATATTTTTTTGGTTTATATAGACCTATAACAACATATTATGTGTAATTAATATTATCCATAACCTTATTGAAAAACTTAAAAAAATACAGTCTACCAAGCAAAATATTTTTGTTTATTTAATTAATATTGCATAATTTTACCTTAACTTTGATTGAAATTGACAAGCTACTTTGAGATAAACTTACAGAAATTGAAATAAAATGAAAAAAACTACTCACTTTTATCTTCATCATTACAAACACAACGAGGAAGAAAAATATAGCCTTAATCATGTGGTCATTTCTTTTTGCCAAAAAATAAACTTAATTTATAATTTTTTATGTGTAAAAAAAATCTTACACACTGACCTTTGATATTCTATGCTGGTGAATTATCAAAGGCATATATTTGAATTATAAATACCCTAACGATACAGAAATAAGCAAAACATGCATCATGCCTGGGGCTAAATTCTCCCATTGCACATTATTTCCTACTACTGTCCTCCATTTCCTCTGCTCCCAATTTCTCCTCCTTTGTGTTTACCTTCCCCCTCCCACCCTCTCGCCCAGCCAGTGATCTGAATGCAGGCTGATATGACTGTCTTAAATGTAATAAATTACCATCTTCCCAGTGTCTGAGCATCCTCCAACCTTCCACCATGCAGAAAGCAGGACCACGGCCCACGGCCCACCACCATCGCCCCGCGCCTCGCCCTATTCACCCCACATTCACCCCCCGCCCTGGTCTGCCTCTGTCACCCACCATCCTGTGCCCCAGTGAGAATCATTAGCAATGTCAGGACTGGACAGGGAAAGGGGGATACCTAGTCAGTTGTACAACTGAATGCGTTCAACTGAAATGTGTCTTCCGCATTTAACCCAACTACTCTGAATCAGAGAGGTGCGGAGTGCTGCCTTAATCGACGTCCACGTCTTCGGCGCCTGGGGAACAGTGGGTTAACTGCCTTGCTCAGGGGCAGAATGGCATATTTTTATGTACCTTGTCAACTCAGGGATTCGATCCAGCAACCTTTCGGTTACTGGCCCAACGCTCCTACCCACCAGGCTACCTGCCGCCGGAAAGGAGACCAGCAGGGGGTGGGGTGTGTGTGTGTGTGTGTGTTTTTACTGACATGCATGTGTATGTGTGTGTATGCTTGCATGCAAGTCTGTGTGAGGCAGGGTAGTTGAATGGAAAGCAGTGGTGTGTGTAGAGAGAGAGCGAGAGATGGAGAGAGGGTGGGTGATGAATGGTAAACAGTATGCATGTGACAGGTCTCAATGTCTGGCTGAGAGGAGCTGTTAGTGGAGCTGTGGAGCTGTGTGTGGAGCTGTGGAGCTGTTAGTGGAGCTGTGGAGCTGTGTGTGGAGCTGTGGAGCTGTTAGTGGAGCTGTGGAGCTGTGTGTGGAGCTGTGGGGCTGTGTGTGGAGCAGTGTGTGAATCAGTGTGTGGAGCAGTGTGTGGAGCAGTGTGTGGGGCTGTGTGTGGAGCAGTGGAACTGTGTGTGGAGCTGTGGAACTGTGTGTGGAGCTTTGTGTGGAGCTGTGGGGCTATGTGTGGAGCTATGTGTGGAGCTGTGTGTGGGGCTGTGGGGCTGTGTGTGGAGCAGTGGGGCTGTGTGTGGGGCTGTGGGGCTGTGTGTGGGGCTGTGGGGCTGTGTGTGGGGGGCTGTGGGGCTGTGTGTGGAGCTAGGTGTGGAGCTGTGTGTGGAGCTGTGGAGGTGTGTGTGGGGCTGTGGGGCTGTGTGTGGGGCTGTGGGGCTGTGTGTGGAGCAGTGGAGGTGTGTGTGGAGGTATGGAGGTGTGTGTGGAGGTGTGTGTGGCGAGGAGAGATGCTGATGTGTGGATATTTGGATACGTTAACGACCTCCTTGTTAAAGCATGCTGAACATATAAAGAGGTCAAGCATGAACTGGACGAATAAAACCACATTGTTTGTTTAGGGTTTCTTTAATATGAATTTATATGCATCGATACACAAATATTAGTAGCCTAACTATACAGTAGATTTTTTTTAAAGTACGAGGGTGGGTGATGAATGGTAAACAGTAAGCATGTGACAGGTCTCAATTCTGGCTGAGGTGACTGTATTGGAGCTGTGGAGTCTGTGTGTGGAGCTGTGGAGCTGAGGGAGCTGTGGGCTGTGTGGGAGCTGTGGGCTTGGGGCTTGTGTGGAGTGTGGAGCTGTGTGTGTGTGGAGCTGTGGGCTGTGGTGGAGCTGTGGAGCTGTGGGAGCTGGGGCTGTGTGTGGAGCTGTGGAGCTGTGTGTGGAGCTGTGTGGAGCTGTGTGTGGAGCTGTGGAGCTGTGGGAGCATGTGGAGCTGTGTGTGGAGCGTGGGCTGTTGTGGGCTGGTGTGTGTGGAGCTGTGGGCTGTGGGGTGTGTGTGGAGCAGTGGGCTGTGGTGGTGGAGCTGGTGGGAGCTGTGTGTGGGAGCTGTGGGGAGCTGTGTGTGGGGCTGTGGGGCTGTGTGTGGGCTAGTGTGTGGAGCTGTGTGTGGAGCTGTGGGGCTGTGGTTGGAGCAGTGGGGATGTGTGTGGGCGTGGTGTGTGGGGCTGTGGGGCTGTGTGTGGAGCATGTGGAGCTGTGTGTGGGCTGTGGGCTGTGTGTTGGAGCTGGGGTGGTGTGTGGGGCTGTGGGGCTGTGTGGTGGGCTTGTGTGGTGGTGTGTGTGTGGGGTGTGGGGCTGTGGTGTGGAGGTAGGGCTGTGTGTGGGGTGAGGTGTGTGTGAGGTGGGAGGTGTGTGGGAGGTGTGGCTGTGTGTGGGCTATTGATGTGAGTGTGTGTGAACGAGCTTGTTAAAGATGTGCTTAGGGGCTGTGGCGATAAACCGACTGTGTTGGGTGTAGATGGCTGTGTGCATGGAACACGAGATAGTGCAGCTAGGCGTGTAGATTTTTGCTGAGGATTGTATCAAAGAGCGAGGGTGTATAATGTGATATTGTGGATACGTTAACACATCCTTTACAGCATGCATGGAAACAATGAAGAGAGTCGCATGAATCGGACATAATTAATCCAGCATGTGTTTGTATTAGGTCTTCTGTTAATATGGACCATTGTTGAGCTGCATCTGTTCACACATATTGTCCACACTAGAGCATGATTTGAGATCATAATGCTGTGGTTAATCCCAGGCCTAAAATGCAGCCCATTCATTTCATTAATCATTCTTCTAATCAATCCCATGGATGCCATTAGTCATTAAAGCAAAGCCTCGACACACTCTGTCCTCAACTTACTCAATACATCGCTAGAGAGATGGAGAACCTAAGGGACTGGGTGGTGTGTGTGTGTGAGAGAGAGAGAGAGAGAGCTGAGTGTGAGTTGTATGTTTGTGCTGAGTTTTCTGTTGAGTGTTGTGTATTGCGAGGTGTCTGTGTGTATTCATGAGTGTGTGTGGTGTGTATGCATATGTGAGTGTGTGCATGCTCACATGTGTATGAGCCAGAAACAGCCTAGGGGAGTCGGACATTACAGGATGAATGAAGGAATGTGGGGTTGTGGTGCCTCAGAGACATTACTTGACGAATGAAGGGATGTGGGCTCGTGGTGCCTGAGAGACATTACTGGCTGAATGAAGGGATTTGGGGTTGTGGTGACTGAGAAACAGTTCTGGCAGAATGAAGGGATTTGGGGTTCTGGTGTCAGAGTAATATATCTGGCTGAATGAAGGGATGTGAGGTTGTGGTGCCTCAGATAAATTACTGGCTGAATGAAGGGATGTGGGGATGTTTTGCCTCAGAGACATTACTGGCTGAATGAAGGAATATGGGGTTGTGGTGCCTCACAGACATTACTGGCTGAATGAAGGAATGTGGGGTTGTGGTGCCTCACAGACATTACTGGCTGAATGCAGGGATGTGGGGTTGTGGTGCTTGAGAGACATCACTGGCTGAATGAAGGGATGTGGGGTTGTGGTGGCCCTCAGAGACATTACTGGTTGAATGAAGGATGTGGGGGTTGGTGTTGCCTCAGAGACATTACTGGTTGAATGCAGGGATGTGGGGTTGTGGTGCCTCAGAGACATTACTGGCTGAATGAAGGAATGTGGGGTTGTGGTGCCTCAGAGACATTACTGGCTGAATGAAGGGATGTGGGGTTGTGGTGTCTGATATACATTACTGGCTGAATGAAGGAATGTAGGGTTGTGGTGCCTCAGAGACATTACTGGCTGAATTAAGGGATGTGGGGTTGTGGTGTCTGATATACATTACTGGCTGAATGAAATCATGTGGGGTTGTGGGCCGCAGAGATATTACTGGCTGAATAAAGGGATGTGAGGTTGTGGTGACTGACAGACAGTACTGGCAGGATGAAGGGATGTTGTGTCGTGGTGCCTGAGATACATTACTGGCTGAAAGCAGGGTTGTGGGGTTGTGGTGCTTCAGAGTAAATACTGGCTGAATGCAGGGATGTGGGGTTGTGGTGCCTCAGAGACATTACTGGCTGAATTAAGGAATATGGGGTTGTGGTGCCTCACAGACATTACTGGCTGAATGCAGGGTTGTGGGGTTGTGGTGCTTGAGAGACATCACTGGCTGAATGAAGGGATGTGGGGTTGTGGTGCCTCACAGACATTACTGGCTGAATGAAGGGATGTGGGGTTGTGGTGCCTCAGAGACATTACTGGCTGAATGAAGGGATATGGGGTTGTGGTGCCTCAGAGACATTACTGGCTGAATGAAGGGATGTGGGGTTGTGGTGCCTCAGAGACGTTACTGGCTGAATGAAGGAATATGGGGTTGTGGTGCCTCAGAGACGTTACTGGCTGAATGAAGGAATATGGGGTTGTGGTGCCTCAGAGACATTATGGCTGAATGAAGGAATATGGGGTTGTGGTGCCTCAGAGACGTTACTGGCTGAATGAAGGAATATGGGGTTGTGGTGCCTCAGAAACATTACTGGCTGAATGAAGGAATATGGGGTTGTGGTGCCTCAGAGACGTTACTGGCTGAATGAAGGAATATGGGGTTGTGGTGCCTCAGAGACGTTACTGGCTGAATGAAGGAATATGGGGTTGTGGTGCCTCAGAGACGTTACTGGCTGAATGAAGGAATATGGGGTTGTGTGTGCCTCAGAACATTACTGGCTGAATGAAGGAATATGGGGTTGTGGTGCCTCAGAGACATTACTGGCTGAATGAAGGAATATGGGGTTGTGGTGCCTCAGAGACGTTACTGGCTGAATGAAGGAATATGGGGTTGTGGTGCCTCAGAAACATTACTGGCTAAATGAAGGAATGTAGGGTTGTGGTGCCTCAGAGACATTACTGGCTGAATTAAGGGATGTGGGGTTGTGGTGTCTGATATACATTACTGGCTGAATGAAATGATGTGGGGTTGTGGGCCGCAGAGATATTACTGGCTGAATAAAGGGATGTGAGGTTGTGGTGACTGACAGACAGTACTGGCTTCATGAAGGGATTTGGGGATGTGGTGCCTCAGTGACATTACTGGCAGGATGAAGGGATGTTGTGTCGTGGTGCCTGAGATACATTACTGGCTGAAAGCAGGGTTGTGGGGTTGTGGTGCTTCAGAGTAAATACTGGCTGAATGAAGTGATGTGGGGTCGTGCTGCCTCAGGTACATTTCTGGCTGAATTAAGGGATGTGGGATTGTGGTGCCTCAGAGACATTTCTGGCTGAATGAAGGGATTTGGGGTTGTTTGGCCTCAGAGACATTAATGGCTGAATGAAGGGATGTGGGGTTGTGGTGCCTCAGAGACATTACTGGCTGAATTAAGGGATGTGGGGTTGTGGGGCTTCAGAGACATTACTGATTGAATGAAGTGATGTGGGGTTGTGGTGCATGAGAGACATTACTGGCTGAATGAATGGATTTGGGGTTCTGGTGTCAGAGTAATATATCTGGCTGAATGAAGGGATGTGGGGTTGTGGTGCGTCATAGACATTACTGGCTGAATTAAAGGATTTGGGGTTGTGGTGCATCATAGACATTACTGTTTAAATGAAGGGATGTGTGGTTGGATGTGTTGTTACGTAGAGGTCATTATATTATTAAATAGAGGTCATTATATTATTATATAGAGGTCATTATATTATTATATAGAAGTCATTATATTATTATATAGAGGTCATTATATTATTACATAGAGGTCATTATATTATTACATTGAGATCATTATATAATTACATAGAGGTCATTATATTATTACATTGAGATCATTATATAATTACATAGAGGTCATTATATTATTATATAGAGGTCATTATATTATTACATAGAGGTCATTATATTATTACACAGAG